TTTCCTGAATTTATATTACATTGTATTATATTATTTATATCTCCTGGCACACATGATAATGCTAGTTAACAGCCCAGCCTTGTGAGGACTCACTTGGCCACTTCATCACATCTCCTTTTTGATTCCCAGCCAGCATCATGCTACCTTGTAATACCCCCCCACACACACACACACCATTCATATCATTAGCTACTCACCTTGGCTTTAGGCAATATTCTTCCTCCTGCCTTTGTCCCCCAACAACTGACCTTGTCACTTCATCACCATGCCCACAAGTTTTGCATTTCTATTGCTATTTTCACACACACCTTACTTATAAAGGTCTGTTCCTACAAACTGTAATCCAAGCATTCAAAGAAATAGATAAAATCTATGAAAGCTTAAGTTACCAATTTTTTCCTTTCTCTCAATTAATTTCAAAGGTGCTACAGGATTCCTTAACAGCAGAAAGAAAAGAAACACTGTAACAAAAAGAAACACTGTTCCATGCCGTTAGTCAGCAGATATAGTTTTCCTTCTATAAACAATGAACCACAATTACAGCCAAAAAGCAGTTTCTTAGGAGTTCTATGGGAGCTTCACAAGAACTGTGCAGAGCATCTCCCAAGAAATGCATGAAGGGGAAGCATTATCTAGAGCAGGATGGGCGCCTGTTATGGGACTGCATTGGCTCCCAAGCAGAGACAGGAAGGCCCAGGATAAAACTTTCTTCCAGCAGAAAGTGACCCAGAAGTTTACTGGTCTAGAAAAAGGTGCTCTCTTCTTTCTATGAGTGGCTGGTGAAATAGAGCCAGCCATAGCCAGGCTGTCCCTTCCCCAGCAACTAAATGACTGGGGTGTGTGCCCTGGCAGCTAACTGCACCTCATCACCATACCCACAAGTTTTGTACAAGAGTGCAGGGGCTCGTTGCAGACAGAGGGTTGAATACTTCATCTGCAACTATCATTAAGGGACAAACACAGTAATAAATTTACATTACATGTGTCATCAACAGGATTATTATTATTATCAACAGGATTCCAGTTGCATTGTTTGATTTGATTTGCAAATATCCTTGATCACCTACAAAATGAAGAGACAACTGTTTTCATTTGCAATTCAAACTGTTTTGCTTTTATATGCCAGTCTTACACATGCATGTTTGTTGTGTGCATTCAAGTCATTTCAGATTTATGCCGACTCTAAGGTGATCCTATCACAGAAGTTTCTTGGCAAGATTTGTTCAGAGGGGGTTTGCCTTTGCCCTTTTCTGACATTGAGAGAATCTGACTTACTCGTGGTCACCCAATAGGTTTCCATGGCCCAGCGGGGATTCAAACCCTGGTGTCCAGTCATAGTCAAATGCGCAAACCACTACACAACACTGACTGTCATCTTACACGTATCCACTTATAAATCCCACCAAGTCCAATGGGACTTACTCTCAGCAAAGAGGATTGAAATGTAAGAATGCTTGGTGTTACCGCTGAGATGTTTTACTATAACAGGGGTTAGTCAGTTATAGATTATTTTAATTAAAGCCACTCTGGGAATTAAGAATTGAAAGGGAAGATAAAACGTTTTATATAAGTAAAAGTTGGAAGCTGCCAGAAAATTTTGCTGCTAAAACAAAAATATGCTAGCATCATAGCACATTACTCATAACGTAAGTGCACATCCTTCTTCTTGTAAAGGAATTCCTGGAAAAGGAATGCCCTCATGTCCTCAGAAACCACAATGACATTAATGCATTTCAGTGCTGAAGGCCTATTTTGTTTTAAATGAGACTTGGATTCATTTAGTTTCTTTTATGAATGTGCACAATGTGGGTCTTTATTTTCATGGCTTTTTCTGTCCTCCTAATATCACATATTGGGCACTACTATTCAAGAACCATAATCCACAACAGCAAACATGGAG